TATAATTTTTATATCAAATTTATAATTTTTTATAAATTTTGAATATAAATATTATATTATATTTCATTTGAATATTATATAAAAATTTATACCAAATTAATTATAAATATTGTCATTAATGAGATTTAATCTATATCTTAAAAGCATACGTTAAAAAAAATTTCATTATAGGTTTGTCTAACCTATCAAAACACAAATTAAAACTTTTTAATTAAAATATTTTTAATTGATTTTTTAATAAATTTTGAATATAAATATTATATTATATTTTTACATTTTATATTATATTTTATTTAAATTTTATATAAAATTAAATATAAATATTATAATTAATAAAATTTAATTTATATTTTAAAAACATATATTAAAAAATCAATTATATTATATATAAATCTAATTACATAAACTCAATTTTATAATTTTTTAAACTCAATTATTGCTATTCATAATTGCTCGGTCAATTACAATTGGGATGCTCCACTCAAATCAATTCTAGAATCTAAGCAAATTAATGTTAATGAAATTGAAAATTGACCCGTAAACCGACCATATCTTGGATCGATCACAAGTTGAGGTGTGAGGAATCCAAGACCAGAATACGAACAAAGGACCAAATCAAGATTGAAATCAACTTGTTTTAAAATCTATTTCTAGTAGAACAAATCATGTAATTTTCTACTACTGTCTTAGTCCATTTTAAGTGAAAATAGATTGAAAAACTAATATAAGGCCAATTAGAATTGGACAAAAATACAAAACAAGAGCAGAATCGGGAACCAAACCAATCAACCCATGTATACATCGTACCGGAACAATTGGGATTCTTCTCTGTTTACTGCCGGTTGCAGACCAAAGTCAGCCGGAAACAGACAGACCGGTGGCCACGTGGTGGCACTTTGCTGCAAATATCTCAAGTCTCCACGGCCACAATAATGTCACGTCCTCTGCTTTCTGCCATAAAAAAGTGAAACATTCGAATGCCAACAGACAGCCACAGTGCCCAGAGCCAAGAAAGATATCATTGAACGGTGACCCAGGAAACAGCACATCATCATCGTCATCATCATCATATCAACTGCTTTCTTCTTTTCCTTGGTGTATTGCTATGAACTATGAATTAAAAAGCCACAGACTTTTCTTTCTTTGAACAAGCATCTCTGTTTTTCTTAAATACCCATTTTCCATCTTCACTTCTGGAATCCATTAGCCAAAAATTCAGTTTTCTGGTGGGTTTTTCATTTTTGGGCCGTTGAAGGATGGAAACGTTGCGGGAGAGGTTCTGTGCTTTTATGAGTAATAGATGGTTGGTGTTTGTGGCTGCAATGTGGATACAATCCTGCGCAGGAATTGGGTATTTGTTTGGTAGCATCTCGCCTGCGATCAAGAGCTCTCTGAACTATAACCAGAGGCAGATTGCCAAATTGGGTGTGGCTAAGGATCTCGGAGACAGTGTTGGGTTCTTAGCAGGGAGCTTGTGCGAGGTTTTACCTTTATGGGGTGCTTTGCTTGTTGGAGCTTTGCAGAATCTTGTAGGATATGGCTGGGTTTGGTTGATTGTTATTGGAAGAGCTCCGCGTTTGCCTTTGTGGGCTGTAAGTATCGATCACAAACAGTTCTTTTCATGTTTGTTAATTCACACTTTGATCATCCGTTGATTGAATGATTGATCTTTCAATTCTGTTTCATTGTATTATTATATGATCTGAATGATAGGAATTTCCAACTTTCTTCATCCCATTAGTTTCCTTCTATAATTTGTTTCTCTTTATGACTTTGATTGAATCAGTTATCTTGTTCTGCCGTGTTTTGTACTAGAACTTTTATGTTGAAGACATCCAATGATATAAACCCCCATATTTGGGTATTTGGGTTTATTCAATGCTAGAAGCATCCATGATGTCCGGATTCATCTTACTGTTTAGCTGTTGTTCTTTTCATATTTGTTGACTTACTTTCATTAGATTGTTAACCCATGTCAATATGCAGATGTGTATTCTTATATTTGTGGGGAACAATGGTGAAACCTACTTCAACACGGCCGCTCTTGTTTCTTGTGTGCAAAACTTTCCCAAGAGCCGAGGTCCTGTAGTGGGAATACTCAAGGGTTTTGCAGGGCTGGGTGGTGCTATTCTGACTCAGATATACACAATGATTCATCACCCTGATCATGCATCTCTTATATTCATGATAGCGGTTGGACCAGCAATGGTAGTCATCGCTCTAATGTTCCTTATCAGACCTGTGGGAGGCCACAGACAAGGGCGGTCATCTGATGGTGCAAGTTTTACATTTATTTATAATGTGTGCCTCCTTTTGGCTGCATACCTAATGGGGGTCATGCTTCTTGAAGATCTAGTTGATCTTAACCGTACTATAATCACAGTCTTTACCGTGATTTTGCTCTTGCTTCTTATTGTTCCCATTGTAATTCCCATTTCATTGAGTTTTTGCTCAGAGCCTAAAGAACCTGCAGAAGAGGTTCTGCTGCCACAACCAGAGAAACTAGAACCAGGAAAATCTGAACATAATGCCAATGAGGTAATATTCAGTGAGTTGGAAGATGAGAAGCCAAGAGAAGTAGACCTGCTTCCTCATTCAGAAAGACAAAAAAGGATTGCTCAGTTGCAAGCAAAGCTCTTTCAAGCAGCTGCAGAAGGAGCCGTGAGGGTGAAGAGGAGGAGAGGTCCTCATAGAGGGGAGGACTTCACCTTGGCACAGGCTTTAATCAAAGCAGACCTTTGGCTTATCTTTTGGTCTCTTCTTTTGGGTTCTGGGTCAGGATTGACAGTTATAGATAATCTTGGTCAGATGAGCCAGTCTTTGGGCTATGATAATACTCATATATTTGTATCACTCATCAGCATTTGGAACTTTCTTGGTCGTATTGGTGGGGGTTACTTCTCTGAGATTATTGTGAGGTACAAACTAGTTTTATTTTTTACCTGATGCTAATAGATTTTTTCTTGAATGATGGTTTTGACTCAATCTTGTTTCCTTTCTATTTGTCATTACTGAATAGGGACTATGCTTATCCAAGGCCTATAGCAATGGCAATCGCCCAGCTTGTCATGGCTGTTGGGCATGTCTGCTTTGCAATGGGATGGCCTGGAGCAATGTATATTGGGACTCTTTTGATTGGGCTTGGTTATGGTGCTCATTGGGCAATTGTGCCAGCTGCTGCCTCTGAGTTGTTTGGCTTGAAGAAATTTGGGGCCCTGTACAATTTTCTCACACTTGCAAATCCTGCAGGTTCACTTGTCTTCTCAGGCCTAATTGCCAGCAGTATTTATGACCATGAAGCTGAGAAGCAAGCTCATCAACCTCATCTCTATGCACAAAATTCAGGGACACTTCTCTCAGGAAAGTTTGCTCAGGACGATCCACTTAAGTGTGAAGGCTCCGTATGCTTTTTCCTGACTTCTATGATTATGTCAGGCTTCTGCATTGTTGCGCTTGTCTTAACCTTGATTCTTGTATACCGGACAAAGATTGTCTATGCCAACCTCTATGGAAAGTCCCGCAGTTGATCAAGTGATCCAGAAAGTCCGTTACAGGTATCTTGTTAGCGGGGTTTGTGTGTTGTATTTGTATCGAGTTATATGATAAGATTTTGCTAGAAGGTAGGAACGAGCATGTTCTGCGCCTGAGTTTCTTGAGATACCATGAACACACATTTTCTTGTCGGGGTTTTTGTTCTTTGCTCTCTAATCTCTATTCCAGGGGTATCATTCCTCTGTGAAGGATCTATTAGGAGTGTTGATTGAAGTCAAGGTGTTTGCAATTTCTTCCTTCGTATTGAACTTGGTTTTCTGGGATTCAAAGCACCATGTTATTATTCAACATATTTTCTGTTGGTTACGAACCAGAACTCCTCATTCCTTGTGTCTTTATCTATTCAGGGCTAGTGTTCTGTGGACGAAATGTTGATTAAACACTCCCCTTAGTGGAGATCACCCCCTGCCCCCTGGTGAGGGCAGGAGTTCCGAGTCCCAGGGTTAGCATTTCTCCCTCCCAAGAACAGGTGGTTATAATAAAAAACTATTGGACCTTTTAGACAGCTAATATCGCCCTTCCTTAAAGACATTACCACCCCCCACTTTTAGAAGCCATTTTTTTAAATCAAATTACCATGAGTTGATCAGGAAAAGAAAATGAAACTCCAAATTCATTATGAAATTCAGAATGCAACACTGATATAGATAATTGATCTCCGGGTATCAATACCAAAGAGACATCGAAGCTTTGGTCTCAACAAACTTGACTACCTAAAATAGGTGTGGGTTTTGAACCAAAATAAGCTGTCAGCTTGTTTCATCTAATTCACATCACCTCCAGATGTAATGATATGAAACTTCCCCAGATTTAGTCCAGGTGGATGCTGGCTATCTCTCTGTCTCTGCTGCTGTGGAGTCTGGCCTTTTCTCACATTGTATGGCTCGTGGGACAAATGTTAAGCCACGGCTATGGCGACGACCAAAGCTGACAGTTGATGGGGAGGAGTCAGATGTGCTTAGCTTAGAGACTGCTGAAACAAGGCCAGTGATGGTTTCATCTTCAACTTCCATCATACTTGAAGGTTCATCCTTACTGTGAAGAACTTGTTTACGATGTTGCTTCTGCCTCTGTTTCTTGGATGGCCGAGCCTTCTCGAAGAACTCAAACGAAGTGGGGAATTTGTGCTTGTCCACCAGATGCTGCTGCCGACTTTTGTAGCTCTTGAACTTCAAACTGCAGCCTTCCACAAGGCACTCATACTGTTACCCACAAATAGAGGAAGATTATTCATTAAACAAAATTACAATGAAGAAATCCATGAATATTGAACGAATTGAAGAAAATTTCTAATATTAAGATTAATTAAAAAAAGAAGAAGAAAAGAACATGGATGGATAAACAAGGTAGCATACTGGCATCAGATCAGATCAGTATCATTATGGTCCACCTAACCATATTATAAGTCTTGACCATCCTCCAAATTTGTTAACTCTCACCATCAATCCTTCCTTTTTATCATTCTAACTTGGGGTTTTTTGCAATTTCAAGTGACTGATGGGTAGGGTGGGTTAGAGGCTGGTTTCTGGATTGTTGATCAAAGTAATTATGAGAACAATGCTCGATGAAGGAATGGATAAGGTAAGTTTTTATTTCTTGGACAACTTAAGCATCACATTTGGTCCCTCAATTCATGCAGAAAATATGACTAACACAGTTGCTTAAGAGCAGAGAACAAGGCAAGAAATCACATAAAGAAGTGGAAAACCCTGGATTAGCAATAAATGAGAGAATTTTCCAAACAACAATATTCAAAGTTAATGAGAGAAAAGATACCACAGCATAACCATGAGCAACTTTTGCTTGAAAGAAGGAATCATGCACCTCCGACACATGTATGCTGAGCAGGCGTGATGTTGGATAAACTCTGGAGCACACTGAACAGGATGCAGTATGCCGTGCATTATTATGATTTTCAAAGTCCTCCAATGAAGTCAATTGCGCACCACAACCAACAATTGGACAGAATACCTCCCTGCTCAAGCATCAGTTTCCAAAATTAAGACCCAAATGAAAATTTTAAAGTGGAAAATATATCACTTCAATTTCTTTGTCTTTTTTACCTTGTTCATGTTGAAACATGTTAATACCTAGTATATTAAACTAAAATATACTTTGACTACACATGGCACAACAATCAACATCTTGCACAGCAAATACTTATGAAATCAGATCAGACAGAAACAAATATGATTCTACTCGTAGATGGCGCATGCCAGCCCCTTTTCTTTAACTGAAACTTGTAATTACATAATAATATTGCAACTTGCAAACCAGGTCCAAAAAAATTCGAACAAAAAGGATATAACAGTTTAATAATAGCAGGTACAAAGTACCATCTTCAGAAGCTGATGCTTTTCATCTTCTGTTAAATCTAAGGCAACCTAAACAATACATGAGACAGGGGAGGGAATACGAGAAAAGGCTCTAGAATATTCATACTACACTAATTACTGAAATCCATGATTTCAAACTGATAAAAATTATATTGCAATGACCATTTCATTGCATCCAAACCAAGAAAATTCAAGATCTAAAAACAGATTATTCGCAGGGAAATTAGTACATCAAGTCGAAGTTGGCATCATCCAAAATTAATTGAAAAGGAAATTAAAAAGAAAGAAACCTGTTTGGCGAGAAGTTCTCTCTCAAGGTTGCCGGTAGCAAAGAAAGAAGAGTCGGGACCAAAACGTCGGCGAACGGAGATCCAGTAGGGGAACGACAAGTCGGTTATGGAGTCCAGAACCATAGCCATGGCCTGGTGTGGTGCGGTGTTGTTGCTACAAGCAAAGAAGCGAGATGCCGATTTCGAATTTGAAAGGAACGCTAATCAGGTCTTGCCTAGGGATGGCAATTTGCCCGATACCCGCGGGCCCCGTGAGCATCCCGCCATGGACGGTACGGGACGAGGAGGAATATCTTTTTTCACGGGACAGAGATAAGGAGTATTTTTTTTTGGTTAAATCCCCATTTTGGTCCCTGAAATATTGTACGGACCCCCGATTTGGTCCCTAAACTAAAGAAATCCTTAATTTGGTCCTTAAACTATTGTACGGACCCCCGATTTGGTCCCACGGTTTATAATTTGGCCTAAGTTGGTCCTTAAACTATTATACGGACCCCAATTTGGTCCTTACTGTTTACAATTTCGCCCCAATTTGGTCCCTGAGCTATTATTTAACAGAAGGACCAAGTTGGGGTTAAATTGGTAAACAGTAGGGACCAAATTAGACATCCGTATAATAGTTTGGGGACTAACTCGAGAGTCCGTATAATAGTTTAGGGACCAACTCAGGGGTTCGTACAATAGTTCAAGGAACAAATTAGGGATTTCTTTAGTTCAGGGACCAAATCCGGGGTCCGTACAATAGTTCAGAGACCAAAATAGGGGTTTAACCTTTTTTTTTTTGGTGAAAATTCACAGAGAATTTTTCCGGTTCCACGGGACCTGTTGGACCTCGTCTCCGTGAAAAATTAAAAAAATATATAAATTAGTTTTATTTTAAATTTAATTTAATTTTTAAATTTAAATTTAAT